AAAGAACGAAAGAATATCGTGAACGTAACTTAATAGAAGGTGTATGTATACCTGGAAATTTTGTTGCTGCTCAAACAAAGGGCTTAACCATATGGCGAACCACCGCCGGTTACCATTTCATGTCGGTTATGGAATTAGTTAAGTAGTTTTTTGTTTTCGGAAGCATGGACTTGAATCTCTCAGAATAGATATTTTCACTGTCTCCCTGCATTATAATCATACGAATCCACTTGTACAAAGGAATAGAGCGAGGAAAGGTTGTTAGTGTCACGTACTCCGACTTATAGTCAATTTTATATATTTTTTGTATTGTATACTTATACTATATATGTAGGTTGGTTGCTAAATAGGCTTGTTGCTTTTCTTATCATAGTTTATATACTTGTGTCAAGAAGTCTGACCGAACCGTTGCAGAAGTGCATTTGTGTTATTGTGCAGCGAGACTAACTGAATATTGAATTTGGGAACAAGTACTTAGAGAATTTCCTCAACCACTCCTTGCATTATAATCATACGAATCCACTGCCGCAAAACCATAGAAAAAGATATGTAGTTAGTCCCTCTGAAACCCAATTTATAGCACAAATAATGAACGACATAAAATCTTATCATTATCGTTTTCCAAATTTTCCCCGTTTGCCATTCAATTCATTGCATTGTACTCAAGCACGTTGTTCGCCTATATGTTTGATTCAAGTGCCATAAATCTTTTTATTTCTTGTGTATTTAGTCTGATCCGTTCTGCTTGTTGAGCTTTATTATTTCAGTTCAGTGTAAGGGTAGGTTGTCGGTAGGAATTCCCGAATCGAAAGAGTTTTCAGAAATACTTGAATTGTAATGCAAAGTGGAATTATAAAACGTTATTTTCTGGATTTAAACAACTTACTAAAAAAAATACTAGCAGAATTTTCGTCGCGTCTCCTTCAGTACAGACTTGATCTCGTTTTAGACGAGAAATCGATGAGGCGTGACGTGACAGCACTGATACCTTTAGTTAAAATACAAATTATTCTGACCAAATTCCTATTTTGAAGATGAGAATTGAACGATATTAGAGTGCAAGGATAGCGTTGTGTAGTGTTAGGTAGAGTTTCATACACCCTTAGTCGCGAGTAAGGTCGGGCCACTGGCAGTCTAGGGTCGAAGAATAAAACTGAGTTAAATTTCACCTGTGGTTAGCTAATGAGTACGAGTTATTCACCTATAGATTACTCAAGTCACTCCGAAGCTCTGACAAATGCTACCCTAGGTTTTACTCGAGTTGAGGCATTCGAGTTTTTCAAACACCGATGTAATCCAGCATTACATTTCAATTATAAAATCGAACTTTCAATAATTGAAAGCAAAACCTTTCTGTTCAATTTGCGTTCACTTCGACAACGCAGCTCGTTACAAACAAGCATGAAAATTGCGAGATTATCCAAAAGATTATTCTTGTGAGACTGAAACTAGCAGAACCTGAACAACGAGATTATTTAGCAAGTTATAATATCTGTATTGAAATTCTAAAATATCGGTTTTCGAGACTGTCATGCCAATGTAATTTTAAATTTTTATGAACAATGATTACTTGACTTTGAGATCAGCGTTGGGCTGTTACCGTATGTACAAATGGATTTTATTCTATGTCACACAGCGATGTCTTTATCAGAAAAGCATTATCAGTTGTTACAATTCTTGTAAGGACAAAGGGTTGTAGCCGTTCATTGATTGGTCTCCTAGTTCAATAATATTTCGAATCGTAACAGGGGCCATATTACGTAGCGATCGCACGCAATATTTACTATTTAGAAGAGAACATTTGGCAGAAACCATTTCAGAGCTGTAAAATTATAATATTACGTCGTTTTATAGTGACGTCACTTTTCTTTTATGACGCCATGTTTTATAATACACAGTTCAACGAAATCTTGGCTAGGCTTAGCAGCCTTTGTAGATCACACACTACACGGGCAAGCACGGGCTTTTAGATTTCCATCGCACATTTCGATCGACGGTCGAAAAAATCGTATTGTTGACAATGAGCTTATGTGTACAGACATATAAAGGATCTAAATGTAATGTGTTTAATTTCAATACATTCTCGAGAAATATACGTGACTATGGCGTCGTCGTGCCATCTGTTACTGTTTGATCGTTTTTTATATATTCCCAGTGATTGTCGTTTTATTAAAGGATTTCCGAGTTTAATACAGATAGCACGTTCAAATAATAGTAAAGACAGGGAAATTATTCGTAGTGATTATAAACCCTTCTTTGGTTAGTCGCTTCACAGTTTTAAATTCACAATATGACGTCATAGTTTATGGTGACGACACATTATATTATTGCTTGACAGCCCCGTGTCAACGAGTAGAGAGAATTCACGTTTCCAAAGACGACGTAAAATTATTTTTGTACGGATAATTGGTAGCTCTTTTAGCTTAGGACTTTGAGTGCAGGAGTCGGATCTTTTGTACAAAGTCCCCATCACTAATGCAAAAATGTGAGACACAATTAACATCCCGCCACGTTCTTAAATAACAAAATTAGTATGTTGATAGGTATTTGTCTGTCTGTATGTCTGTTTGTCTGTGTGTTAGATTTACGCGGTATCTCACGAAAGTGAGATTGGATCTGCTGCAGATCTTGCATGTGCATATATACATCATAGCTCGGATGAGAAGCCTATTGATTTTGGATGGATTATGTCGTATAATTAGCGAGTTATTAATTAATTAGTGATGGGACACAAGGTGTCACTATGAAGTAAGACCACTGTTTTGAGGGAACCCCTAACCTTTGATCGATAAGTCTTCGGTTTTCAACCGAATTCTAGTTATTCAGTTAAGGTTAGAAATGATTTAAATTCCCAGTGCAATCTGCATTCCTAACCCTAACTGGATAATTACTAATCCTTTTTATTTTATGCGTTGACGGGGGCTTTGTACAAAAGATCACAGTGAACTTGGGGGTACTCCTGGAGTGGTTCCATTACATTTGAACCCACGTACATTTGAACCCATGACAATTGCACCTGTATGCTATTGCATCTATTGAATTTTTTTTTGTTTCACGGATAGTTAAACCCATACTAACCCTAACCCATGGGTTTTGGCACCCGCATATAGATTGAACCCGTGGATATACGCATGGGTTCAAATGTACATGGGTTCAAATGTACGGTCACCCTCCTGGAGTATGCGCACCAAGATGTCGCACAACCTGAAGCCCAACCTTGTACACAGGTTGTGCGCCATCTTGGTGCGCATACTTCAGGAGGTCCGACTTGACTCTGATACGGCTTCGTAACATTGTCAAGCTTAAAAAATGTATCCATAGTGTGAAAAGTAGTGAGTGTAACAAGTTGCTTACTTCCTATTTTTATGAAATTTGTGATTTCTCTGTGCTCGTATTTTAAACCAGCCTAGGACTCGAAAATTACTTTCGGGCTTCGAATCGGACGCACATCTTGAAGGACAATTATATTAGAATGACGATAATATTACTTGGTGAAGCATGACTATAAAATGGCGTTATCAAACTAGAAACAGATTCATTTATGACTCTTCTTCGTCATGAACAGTGTTGTCCAACCAATTGGTAGCGACCCAGTGGAAACATTCTTCTTGTTGTCACTCGTTCTTCCAACAAAGCTTACAAGCTACTCGTTTTATTTTTTAGTTAATTTTGTTGTTTATTTTATATTTGGTATTGAAGTGTTGCACAACAGTAACTGTATACGTGGGATGTATCGCAGCGTGAAAACAACTTTGCAGCATATATTTTGTTTCGCTTGAGTAAAAACAGCTTTCTCACATTGTTTTATACTAGATGTACTAGGGTATTGTGTACTGAACTGCAAGTCCCTTTTCCTTGTTTACTTTCTATTCTACGGATCCGTATGTGTCAGTTGTTACAAGGATGCTTGAACAAGATAGTATTATGAGGATAAATATGAATAATCTCTTGCTGTTATCAAGCCATATCTTGTTTTATTTGAAGAAGTTAGACTATGATCTAACGAAAGCTCATAAACAAACTTACTATTTCGTGGAAAGAAATTATGTTAATCATGTTTTATATTAGTCATTCAATTTTGCAACCTCAAAAGTACACATGCAATTTATAGTATTTGAGGATATCCTTTGGTCGCTTGATGGAACCACTGGTCTAGAAATCCTCACGTCTAAGTGATATTGTATGGTTAAAATTTCACAAAGAAAGTGTTTCATTAAAAGGAAGTTAGTTTATCGTTATATCTTCAATTAATTCTTGCCAGCTTTAACGTAATTTCCAATCGGCTTATTTTCATTATTGATACCCCGACGTGACAATAAGATAGGTTAAAGGAAATTGGGCAAAATTGCTTCAAAAGCCGGGCGTTCCGGGTCATTAAAAAAGATAATATCAAATCAAGGCATTACTGATTTATGCTACTATAAAATGAAATAAAAACAATATGGAATTTCCAAGTAATGCTAACAGATTTTACGATATGGATGCGGCTATTCACTTGAGTGCTCCATTTCTTGATATTTTGTGTGCACGTTTTGAGCGTAGTTACAAAGCTTCTATTCTCTATTTTGTTTAGATTAATACTCTCTCCCTTCGCGTACTTTGAGCCAAAATAAATTAATTAAACATACTTAGAATAACAGTTAAGTTTTTGGAGGTAAACGCTATTATATATATGATAAATACTTTGATAAATATACATCATTATCTTTGTATAATACGTAGTTATATCTCAATGCTTGAACGAGGCTCTGGAGAAGAGTTACTGCAGATAAAGGTCTGTGTAAATCTGTCCGGTTCGGCATTGCCACTTTACCACACACTAGGTGAGGTGGTGGACATGGGATTAGGTCCAGGAATATTTAAGCTGCCATCATAGCTAATTCTATTGCTTTAACCACTGAGCCACCGCACATACTATATTAAAAATCAAGTCCTAGCTATGAGAAAGCGATGCGCAAGTTAATGCTTTATCTTGTATTTAATTTATTTCAGGATATATACTATAATTTGAAGTTAAATATGATGAAAATGACGAAAACGAAAGATAAAAAGAAGAAAAAGTTGGAAACTCAAGAATCAGATTTATCCTGATATAAAATAAATCCTTTCGGATCGGGAGAAAAAATTAAGTAAAAATGGAAACAAGAAAAAGGATAAAGAGACAAATCCTTTTTAATGAAACCAACAAAAAGCACAAAAAAAGAGAAGGAAAAGGCAGAAAAGAAAGAACTAAAAAAGAGCAGAAAACGATGAGAAAAAGGAAGTTCAAAAAGAACGCAAAAGGAAAAAAGGCAGAATCAAAGAACACTGAATTCCAAATAGACTTGGGTACAGAGACAGACAACGTTCCAGAAAGTAATCCTACTTCTGGAATAAGTACTAAAGACACTAACAATGTCATAACACCGCGACAGATTGGCACTATTGGTTCATACGATCCTCCAATGCGTGACCCAAAAAAGGAACCACTGTTTTCCAGAGACGCTCAAGTGTCTAAGAACTTTAGATTGGCCGTAGCCCCTACTAGACACGAACAGTCCGTCCCCCATCCTACCAAATAAACGAATACTGGAATTAAAAACAAGTCGAGAACGTGGAACAAGTCAGAATGCATCATTGCCGGATTTAACACACAAACCCCATTATCAGTATCGACCTACTAAGTCAAATAGTAATCAAGATATGAAAGAAATTGGCACAACGGGAACGCGAGATACGACGCCTCTTCCACCTCCAAAACAGCGTCCAGTGTCTCTGGAAGTTCAATCATCGCTCAATCCCAACAAATTGAGTCCCGTGATAGAAAACAGGTAACACAACTGGGATATCGACATTTTTTTAAATATTTTTACGCTTTTTCATGGCGCCCCGAGCGCGCCTATTGTCAACAAACTGAACGCTCTTTTTTGTTTATCAATCTCATTTCTACTCGAACTGCGCCACGGGTAATTTCTTTTGAATATGGATCCTTAACAATCAAGGCCTTCTCAGAAACACTACAAAATTAGGTACTCCAGGAGTATGGGCACCAAGATGGCGGACACCGGAACGCAGTATGTGTACCAGATTAGGGTTAGGTCATATTTTATTCCAATTTTTCTTGTTTTAGTTCGGGACTAGCCAAGTGACTCCCGTAGTATTTATACCTGAAGTTATGGCCTAAACCCCAACATGATACACATACTACGTTCCGTTTGTCCACCTACTTGGTGCACATGTTTCTGGGAGCGCCCAAAATTATACTAAATTTAATGATATCTTATTTAAAGTATATTCAATTCTAGGTCACCATCACCCCTTATTCCTCGTCCACATCACCGAAGATAGTGACGTAAAAATGTATCGAACAGCCTCGAAAGTAAGAAAGGAAAAGATAAGAAGAAGAAAAAAAAGTTGAAGAAACTTTTAAAGAAAAAGAAGAAAAAGGGCGGGAAATCAAACGATGTGATAGAAGGTCAGATGATGTTTACGTTGAGCGTCTGTCAACGTGTTTAAATTTGTCCTAGCAGTCAATGAAATCAGCACATAGAATAGATGGCTCCGTGGTTGGTAATAGGAGATCCACGTACATCATGGCCTTCCGCTAAATATAGACAACTACCAGGCCACAACGACAAATATTGTAGTCCAGTAGTCATAGTCCGTAGTTCTAGTGAAGTCTATTATAGACCGTAGTTTTTCACGAATTCTTAAGACAGTAGAAAATATAATTTTTTTAAATATTGCTTAGCGTAAACGCGCTTCGCACAACAATCATTTGAAAAAATGAAAGTGTGTTCAAAAGATGGTTACTCAATTTAATGTAGTTTGAATGATCATTCAAGCTCGTTCACACATATACAACCTTTGGTTGGATCAGACGATATAAAAAAAATTGGTCGTTTCTGGTTCTGACCGCCAGAACAACTCTCAACCCAACTTTTATTTAATAGAACAAGGTGCCACTGAACAAGTTGTGATGAGAAGACCAAAAGTTCATGACATTGAGACTCTTAGAAGAGAAGCGGAGGAAGTGAAAGAGATAGCAAGGTAAGTCTATAAAGAAAGGTCTGCCTCAGCTGTTAGGAGCCATATGACAATGCATGTGTGTATCAAGATCGTTTTTTCACGAACGCTGCTGCGAACAAAGCCAGGTACAAGCAGCCACTGATATCTCAAAGAAGCTCTCCCTCTCCCGTCTGTTCATTTAAAGGAAGAATTGATAGCAAGTAAAAAAAACGAGCGTGTATATAACTGCAAATGCTGCAAAATCGCTTATTATGTCTATAGTAATAATTCGTGACGAAAGTATGCATTTTCCTTTGAGAATGCTTAGTATTGACAGTAAAGTATAGTTTGTAATAGGTCTGCTGAACTTGTCAATCCATAAACATAACGGAGTGCCTATACCGTTAAGAGTTGCGTCCTGCGGATGCGTCATAATTTGAAGTTTAATGTGGCGAATGTTTATTGGCGGAAGTTAATGCGGTCCGCACTCTTCTGCCAGTGTGCATATTTGGCCCATTAGTACGTAAAGTTTACCGACCAGCGCTATCATTATAGTGTGGAATTGCGCGTTAATAAATACAGATTGACACAAGGCTTTCCTTCATAAACTATGGAACACCATTGCAATTGGTCTTTCGAGTCGACTGTATTCCGATATAGAGTGAGGTATGGGCATTTTCGTCTCAAGCGTTATTTAATAAGAACCAAAAACGCCCGTTATTTATTAAGAACCAAAAACACCCGTTATTTAATAAGAACCAAAAACGCCCGTTATTTAATAAGAACCAAAATCGCCCATGCGGAATGACTGTGAAAGGAGATCGATGACGACAATAAATCGAGCGCTTTGTCGGGGCAAAGTACATATTTGACTTGTCATTATCGTAAAGATTTATACAAAAAGCATAAAACGCTGACAATGAAAGTGCCCCGTTACATCGCTCAATAATTGATTACATTAATAACTTGTTTCCCAGGCGAGTACGACTTGCACATACGACTAGCTAATGATATTTTAAAGATTGAACAAATAAAGTAGTTTTATGCACATCGTGGGAGGATAACATAGTCCTAAAATAGACAAAAAGAGACGTTAAAGAAATTGATTGGGAACCACTCCATAAAATCCTCGCTATAAAAATTAAATATTTTCCAGGACGAGCATCATAAATATGGTGGAACAACGAAATTCAGCGTTAGACAGACTTACTGCGAACACGGCACAGCTTGAAGAATTTGCTCATGGTTTTGCTACGGTAAGACTTAGCGGGAAAATATTTTTTTTATTCATTCGGACTGTTCCTAGCACTATGTTGATTGGCACGAACATGCTCCCAGTGTGACCGACAGTCACAATATGTGACCACCATAAATACAAAATGTTACGACAAAGTACGTCGAGGTGACATAATAAACTAGATATCGATAAAATAAAAACGGCTCAGGGCACCGATATGAGGGCAACCAAGGCAATGGAAGCGAGTCCAGGCCTTTCAAATTACACATCACGGGTATCACCAAGAGGAACACAAATTGGGTAGGCAATGTATAGCCGGAAAATTCCCTGTCCGGAATCTAGTATCCCCTCGCGTATGGCTGATTGTAGATAGCCTTTTTGGAGCAAAAGGTGTAAATAAGCGTCACATAAAAACCAAAAACCTTTCACAGTTAAGATTACTTTGAGTATCAATGTCCTTACGTTTGACACAATCAGCAGCGCAATTTCTAGAATTATGAACAAACCAGTGTGTAAACTGGGGTTTTAAGCTCTGTCGAACTCATGCTTGGCCTTGTAGGTGTGAGTGCTTTCTGTTCTATTAAATGTACAAAATAATTTCCTTCAGTGCGCCCAAGAAGCAAGATTAAAACAGCAAGCCCGCGTAACATGCTGTGGAATAGGAAGTAAATGGAAGGTTTGCTGGTACATATGCGCTTGTCAAGGAAAAATAAAAAGGCGGAAACGCAAACAACAGAAAAATGGAAAAGGTAATTTAATATTACTGTGTTTATAAATCATAAATCGAGTAACGTTCTTGTTATTAGTTCTCGCTTGGCCACCGAGTCACGTTAATTCAACATTCAAATTTTAACCTATAATATTTAAGAACACTATTTTTAATCTAAATTAAGCTACTCAAAATCAACCATATGAAAATGGCATTTGGATAAATTTGAACAACACACATTGCGGTTTGTTTTTCCGATAGATAGAACGATAATAAAATAACACAGAACTATCTTTAAGTAAATACGAACTTTAGAAAACTAGGACATTGAGATCCGGATCGAACTTGTGAAAATGAATATGAGTTTTCATTTGTATGGAATTTATATGGGCACCGTTGTCTGTAGACAAGGCCTTGAATTTAGCGGATAAAATCACTAGCCCATGGAGTCATCTTTATACTTGAATGCATTCATTCAAAACTGAAAGAGCTATTTCATTCGCAAGCATTTAGAAAAAATCAAGTCGTGTGGTTTTTGTTATTAATATAATTTCAAGCTCATGTAAGTAATCGCCCTTGGTCAACTGGGCAGTAGAAATTTGCAAAATAAGTTTTTGAAATTGAAGCAAGAGTTGATCAATCAACAAATACACTTTTCAGCAATTCCAGAGGCAGAGGAACTTCTAGAGGACGATGATTACTATAGACCGGCAAACACTGAAAGTTCCAGAGTGAAACAAGAAAATGAAATTGACGCCCAGGTCGAAACGAATCCATTTTTGTCAAAATCTAACACACCGACTGTTTCATATTCGCAAGATGGCAACAAGGAGCAATCACAGCAGCAGTCTAATACACTAAAAAGCAAGTTGTTGAAATTACCTAAAACACTCCGTGGATCGTTACCTAGTCTTGTTGATGACGACCCACCACCAGGAAGATCATTGAGGTGAAGAAAAAAACTTTCAAACAAATTAAAAATTTGAACCACTGTTAAAGTTATCCACTCGCATCAAAATTTATAATTTCACACGCAAATAAAACGACGTCTTGGAGTTACCGCCACTGTTTAAAAATCCAGAATTCAATTTCCACAACCATCGTAAATTGTTGTAATTGATGTGATATATATTTGATAAAACGACTGTATTTATTTTGTAAAACGGATCCACAGCAAGTATGCACGCAGCTATTTCGGTTCTATGGTATTACGACAACATTATTTTTGCTAATTCTGCTGATAAAATTAGTTTTGAAATTTCGTACGGACTGCACTTATCATATTCCGATTTAAAAATAACGAGTATTAGTTGCATCGAAATGAAATTGAATAGCCTGATATGTTTATAAATATTGTAGGAGCATGGCCAACATTGACCCACGTGAGAGGAAGTCGTCATCTGTTAGCGCGTTGCACGAAATCGTCAAAAAGAGGGGGGGAAAAGAAAGGTTGAAACGAGACATATTAGAAGAGGAGGCCCGGGACGAACTTCCACCAATGTCAAGACCACTAAGGTATCGTCATATTCAACAGTCAAAAGTTAAATTAGTAGGCCTACCAACAGAAAGTCTGATTTCCGTTAGTGCTTCTATCATTCACAAGTGTCTAAGAATGCCACTTTTTTTGCAAACAATATATCTGGAATATAAAGGATATAATTAAAGAAATATTGCAGTAATATGCGTTAAAAGTAACTTTTGTCGTCTTCGGCGCAACAGAATTGGACAATTGCTATAATGTATCACGATAACTTATCATCAAACGTCAGACCACGTTGAATTCAATTTATATGTATTTTTTTGTGAGTCTAGTAGTGAGTCTCGCAGTGACCGCTTGAAGTGGCCCCTCGGCCATCGCTATACCATGACTTCACTGATTATTGAAAAAGTTCATCGGAAAACTACTTCAAAATGTATACAATATGGGATACTTCAAAGTTACATTTTCCTGATGTAATGTCTTATTGATACGTAATCGTATTAGGTACAACGATTATTTGGTGCTCCCGGAGTATTCGTACCATGATGGCGCACATCCTGAACATAGTGTGCTAACCAGGTTAGGGTTCAGGTTGTGCGTCATCTTGGTACGAATACTTCCGGAACGATGTTTATTTAGCGTTTTCCATTCAATTTGACAATGAGTAATGAGATAATACATGTATTTTTTTTTTCTAATCAGTTATCTATCCAACATCGATCCTCGACAGCGAAAATCTTCATCGGTGAGTGCGCTGAACGAAATCAAGAAATCGAGAGCGGAGAAAAGGAGAGAAGAGAAAGAAAAAAAAGAAAAACTCCAGCAAAGAGAAAAACGAGAGAAAGACATTGATAAATTTGCGTCACAATACACTGATGAAGACACCAGAAAGAAAGTCGCAGAGTTGTTGGAATTAGACTTATCGTAACAACTTTCACGCACTCGTCTATTTGAGGAGTGTGCAACTTACGGCCCGCGGGCCAAATGCGGTTCACAAGGGGCCCGCGGGTAAAATGCGGTTCACAAGGAAAATTGTTTGGCCTGCGGAGAAGTGCCAAGTTAGAATGGCGTGCGGTCCGTGAAAGTACTTAATTTAGTCTAATCTGATGCGTGCGATTAATTCCAAACTCTTTGCTTTGCAAAGATTATACACGAGTCTAATGCCTATGATAATAACGGCTAGCTTGTACGAAGCGAACAACGCATGTCATACGATATAAATCCAACATTTTTGTGCCTGCAACTACCAGAATGTCTATGTTGAATAAAAGTGCAGCCCGCGGTTTTACGCAGTTATTTGTATCTGGCCCTCCTGTATTAAAAGTTGCACACCTACGGTCTATTTTTGTCGCAGTTTTTTCTTTCTATTCTTTCTAAAACATCTGCCACAATAAAAACAAAAGATCCGAGGCTCGACTTCGGCTTTATTCTTATTTTACAGCATTAAATCAACTTAAAGTGAAATAAGTTCAACATACACTGCTCCCACGAAACACAAAACTCGACTGTCTGGTCACCGCCAGAACGTGGAAGACGATGCCTTCTCATCCTCGCATTCGGGGTTAATCATTACGCAACACAGCAATAGAAAATCATTACTTAAAACAGCAATAACAAATTACAAAAACAGGACAACTGCTAATGTAATCAAACAGGGGTTTGGAATTAGGGCTTTTCTGTTAATATTGGAAGTTTTTCAACGCGGAGGGTGGGAAATCTTAAACTTCAGCTCAGCGCGATTTGTCACCGACACAATTTTCATACTCGGTAAATTTAGCATGCACAGTCGGACTCAAAATAATGATGAAAATTCCACTATTTGATAAATGCTAGTCGGATTAGACCTATTGTAACATCATCCCAAATTAATCGATTTTCCTCCGCTACCAATAATCGATTAGGAATGTGGAATCGGATTCAGGCTTTTCTGTTAATATTGGAGCCAGGAGTGGGCGTTATGTTTTTAAAGCGAGGATTCGTAAATTTTAAAGCCTTACTCGACATAGTTTGCAACCCACACAAATACTTGGGAAATTTTGGTATTTGTGAATAACCATTCATTTTTGGTACTCCCGCAGTATGTGTACCAGGCTAAGCCCTAATTTTATTCCGCTTCTCTCAATTTTTAGTTCTATTACAAGTTCAGGGACTCGTGTTAGCCAAGTGAATATCCCCCTGCACATAGACTTCAGTCCCTCTACGCAACTTGATGTAAAGTAGGCAAACAAAATTAGTTACCTCCATATTGATTACACATACTTCTGGAGCGCCAATTTTTTTTATTCATGAGTAGGATTCGAAACAATGATGTAAATTTTCACTACATGGTAATCTTGAATCGGATTGAACCATCACCCACCTAGTTCTATACTAGATATTTACTGCATACATTTACTACATATATTCAAAATAAACGAATTTCTTATCTTGCATTTGTACTTTTACCAGCTTGTAATACTTCATATGTGGGCTGACAATGATTGCTTTTTGTTTTACACTGATAAACTTTTTTGAACGTCCTCTATTATTCTATGTTGTTACATTTAAGTACATTCCCCAGAAGAAAAGATGATTTATTCAGAAAACTTTCAATGGCACATCGGCAGCTATGGAACCCGTAATATCTTATGAAGTATGATCTACATTAAATTCAAATTTGTATTTTATTTGCCAATCTGCAGTTCTGCTAAATTATTTTTTATATCTTTATCCTTTTTTTCCTTATGTCGTTTATTTCATCAAATATAATATTTGAGTCAATCTAATTTATTGGATTCGACAACAACAACAATTGATATAAAAAAAAAAAAACTAGGATGATAATGCTATTTTACAAACTCACAACGGCAACAGCTACGCACCAATTTGCAGGTCGAGGACAGTACAATACGTCTAATTGCTATAAGGCAGTGAAGAATTTGTGAGCGATTTTTGCTCTCCTTGCATTTTCAAGTTTAAAACAGAAATGCGGATAAAATATAAAGGCTACATAAGACCTAACCTAACCTAATAGTGAACGCTTAAAATAACTGTCATGCACACACTTATCACTACCAGTATCATTCTATCCTCATCATATTTTACTTCTAGAAATGAAGAAAGGAAAAATTGAAATAAACAAGGTATCTAAGTGGAAACTCACTTCCAATACTCCAGTTAAAGCCAGTAGAGACGATTGTTACATTTTGGGTCGATCCCCATCCCCGGCACAGCCCATAAGTTCTTTTCGGTACTGTTACAATTGTTCGTGCTTTGCAACAAATTATACGAAACGTGAACAACAACCAACTCCTAAAAGAAATAAATCAAAGGATGATTACCTTTGCTAGCTGCGCTTGTGAAGCGCGGGAAGAACGGCTACACGCATGATCAAGTTGATTGAAGGGTTTACACACAAAAAATTCGAAGTGAAACACTATTTCAAGACGGAAAAATATGAGATTGCGAAAAAGTTTTGCTTTGTCCAGAACCCAACGGAGTAATAAATTCATAGTTTCCTGAGCGCTCCCGTAGTATGTGCACCAAGATGGCGGACACCGGAATGTAGAATGTGTACCGGGTTAGGGTTAGGCCATAATTTTGATCTAATTTTTCTTATTTTAATTTTTTTATAAGGGGACTAGCCAAACGACTCCCGTAGTATTTGTACCTGAAATTATGACCTAATCCTAACCCGGTACACACACTACGTCCCGGTGTCCGCCATATTGGTTCATATACTATGGGAGTACCGTTTCGTGAGCCAAGATAGAAAGATTGTTATGCCTATTTCATGGCAATAAGACAGTGATTGTGTGTTTTGCATTTTGCAATCTTAATTGTTTTAAGAAAATTATGAGCGAACCTTACTTTTCCTTTCATGGAGACAAATATGTAATCACCACTCGCTCTCTGAACTTTTCATGCATATATGAAACAAATAATTGAATAAATATTCTCATTCCTGAGTTTAGTGTTTTTTTCAAGCTATTCCAACTGGGGTTGGGATCCCAAGGTTTGAATCTCTTCCTAATCCCGATGCTGATGCTATCGTCAAAGAACAACCGAGTTTCCCTAAGTAGGGATTTCGGAACCTAGTTAAAAAAAAATGGATAGCTCGCTAGGCGCTAAGTCAGATTGCGTTTCGCAACTGCTGTCACACGGCCCACTCTTAAAACTAAAGAAGTGCGTTTACTAAGAAATCACAAAACGTCTCTCCAAATAAGGAGTTGCTTGGTGCGAGCTCGGGATGCGAAGTTGAGATAAAGAGCGCGACTCATTTGATCGGCTGGGTCCGTCTGCCTAAGACAGTTTATTAATACTGTACCTAGGATCATAAGACGCCATTCCCATATTGCCACCATCCTGACGTTTATAGATACAACATTGAAATTCAATGATTTGAAAAACATTATCCCGGATATCGGGATTAGGGAAAAAGTTTGAATCTCGGGATCCAACCCCAGTTGAAATAGCTCAAATAGTTAAAATAAACCCAAATAATCTGCTAATAAATACAAATGTCAGCCAGTGGTTTGGTATCAGGGGTGGGCAAATTGAGGCCTGCGGCCAAATCCAGCCCGTTGGGTAATTCTGTTTGGCCCGCCCGATGCTGCCACAACTTAACTAAAACTAAATTTCGATGTTTTAGCTAAAAATAGCTCAAGGAATTTGTTGAGATTGCGGTTAAATTCAGTATTGGCACGAGGCTCATTGTGGTCCACTTTTTTTGCTTTGAAACACTGTAAATATTGTTCATAGAGTGTAATTTTCTACGTCACACTTACATTGCCGGTCTGACGGGGTACTGGGCAAAATGTTGACCCCTGGTTTAAAACCTTGCCCACCCTTGCTCAGATTGTTCTGCGGGCCGCATGTGGCCCGCGTGCCAGGGTTTGGACTAACCTGAGATAAGTCACTAATTGGGAAATGTAAAAATCTAGGTTATTGTGCCTGGGTTCAAACATGGTTTTGTACTTGGTTAATTTGGTGATTAGTCTGTTTATACTGACCAGTGTTATACCTGTGATGTCATTGTCAGGGCATTGTTATCACGGAAGTCTCAGTTCATTGCGGGCAACCTGAAAATCCGTTTTTTCGTTGACAAAATATTTTGATCTCGTCTCCTAATTGGACAAACGTCGATTCAATGTCCAACTCTCCACCCCATTCTCAAAATATTTTTGTCTCCGTATAAAATAAATGGTTTATAATATATAATTCAAACGTTCGCACGTTGATCGTTCGAGGTATTGTAGCCGCAGACAATCTCAAGGGACGTACCGTGTTTCCCCGAAAAGGTTCTTATTTCAATTTTCTTCCGAAAAATAATACTAGGGCTTATTTTCGGGGGATGTCTTATATTCAAAATTACAAAGTGGAGAATTACAAAATTTTCAAATGTACAAAATATGAAAACCGATATGCATTTACTTATAAATAACTCGTTTTTATTCAAAATAACTGCAAAACATAGATTATCAATCTATTAAACAAGTAGGAGAGATTTCTTGCTATCGACTAGGTCAAAAGTTTGCCTTCTTGACTAGGTCTTATTTTAAAGGGAGGGTTTGTATTAAAATCATTTTTAAACTTCAGGCTAGGTCTTATTTTTAAGGTAGGTCTTATTTTCGGGGAAACACGGTATGTGAACAAATTAGTAAATAATAATTTCTGATTGTCGACTACATTGTATGACGTAAGTTCGTACAATTGAAACTCCAGTCGAGTTGTTGTGTAAGTTGCAATGGTTTGATTATATAACAGCTGAGATGTTGAGCTGCAGAGTAATTTTATAAATAGTTGTCGAAACTACAGTTTCACTTATGGCGCTCACAAGATGGGATGCCACAATAAGAGGCTATTTCCCTTTTATTTGGAGCAATAGCTTGTATGTAATTAACAGATGTAATTCAAGTAATGTGGAAGAAACGGATTCAGCACGGGCATTGATCGCTCGAGCAAATCTCATGGGATTTATGCGAGCGAACTGAATAATTGATATATATTCGTCTGAATGT